TAAGCTAATTTGTGGGAAGCGTGCGTAAAAACAACTATACTGAATAGGTGCAAGCATAACTTTTTCTCAATCTTATACATGAAAGGTACACCGACTTTACTGTTCAGATACATAGCCAAGGAGCGCATTTAGGCTTTAACAGGAGAGAAGTTGAGGGTGCAGAAAATTTTCAGTGTCATATTTACGGAGATTCAGTATGATTCCAGAACGTCTCAAGACTCAAGCTACAATCCGGGCCAAAACTCATGTGGACACTTAATCCACTTTTGCAAAAATCATAACAAACACCTAAAACTTGAATTTCCTTGCACATCCCCCACTCCCCCTCTTCAATGTTGCATATCCGACTTAACCACACTTCGTATTTGATGAAAAATCCCATTCAACATTGGCTTGGGGGAGCGGGGGGATAATTATTTATAAAAAACACCATTCGAGGCCAAATTCTATGCGTTGTCCACAACGTTTTGTCCAGGATTGTAGATGTAACGTCACCGCTAAAGGTGCTTCAAAACGCCTAGCACATTTCAGCATTTTTAATATGGCAGAAAATTTAGATATGCAAATAACCTTGTAAATACGAAATGTTCGTTGATCATGTTCGATATCTACATAACCAAATTCAAACTGTATTTAAAATGTGCTCAATTAAAAAAAATTATATTCAAATTTACGATACAGAGTCTGAGCAATGGTCGTATAATCGTTGATGATATTTATATACTCGCAAGTTGTGATCAACGCTAGACCATACGAGTATACACAACTACGCTTTCTACTTGACAGGTTTAAGCAGCTGAGGAGATTATTAATTTATTATTAGCTATTATTAAAAACATATTTAAACACGGTGACTAATCAACCAGTATTAAAATATTTACAAATCGAAAGCTAGGTTGTTTTTCATTAGGCCGTGATGCCCACAAACTACAACGCCCCCTCCTTCCCACAGTGAACCCCTCCCAAAAAGTGTAAAAGACATAGTTACTATTTATTTAACTGACTACCCCTCCCCCCTCAGTGAAGCCCTCCCAAAAAGTGTAAAAAATACAGTTACTACTACTACTAAGTTAACTGACACTTTGGTTCCAGACTTTAGCAGCAGCATATCTGAATGTTCTTTTCAAAGAATTAGTTTTTGGTTTCGTTAGTATAAGCTTGCTATATTGTTGCTTCTTAAGTCGTATCGTACAGAATTGGACATTATAAACATGTTCGAAATGTTTTCAGGGCATTGGCATGCAAGAGCCTTAGATACACATTTTAATTGCTGCTCATTTCGCCTTTCTTCTAACGTTTCCAGTTCAGTTTACTCAAAATGTCAAGGGAGCGTACTTCGTATGAGTCGCCTGAAATAACCCTTGCCGCTCGGTTTTGGAGTCTTTGTAACATCCCTTTTAAGGTTTTGCCACAGTTACCCCAAACCATTGAACAGTAATCAAAATGTGGTTGAACCAAGGCTTGATAGAGATAGATAAGAGTTCCAATTGAAACAAATGGTTTAATTCGGCGTAACATGCCAATGCCTTTTGAAACTTTTTTACTGATGTTCTCAATTTGCTTGTCCCAGCATAAGTTTTCATCAATTATAATGACTATGTTGTCAAAACATTTTTAGTCGGAGACTCGGCATAATTTTCAAGCTTCTAGATAGCTTGTGATATGGCTTTATATTTTTGTAAACACGAGTCATGTTTAGCTCGTTATTCCATTCTGACCGTATGGTAGCGAAACGTAGCGTATTTCATTGTTCCGACAGCATTAAAGCAAAACTAATAATTTAATTATAAACGCAAAGGAAATTTTCATCACATTTTCTATTTACAAATGCGGTATGCTTGGTAACCAGGCCAGGGACCACTTTTTTTAAATCAGGGACCATTTTAACGAAATCTGCTAGGCTCTCTTGCTGAAGCGTTCCGCACAGCACACCCAAGCATAAAACTTTTAAGACTTATTTAAATATATCAAAGCAGCAAACAGAGAGAGAGAGAGAGAGTCTGGGACTAGGCTGCCTAACATATATATGTTGGAAAATTGATAATTGTGTAATGCAAAGTTATATTTTCAGGCGATTTGTAAGAATATTCTTAAAAAATTATCGTGTTACCATGACAATTGCTTTAGATACTTCATGTTCGGAAAATACAATGGTTTTGTCAGCAAGGCGAGGATTTCTGCATGCATGTAGTTTCTAGTATGGCAGTAACCTATATATGAACTTGTTATACAGCTAGCGTGAACACCAAACGTGATTGGCTGATTTGTGGTCACGTGACTTCAGATAAATGCAATGTTTCCCGCTGGGCAACAAGTGAAAAATTGTTGCCCGCCCCGAACGGCCACGTACATAAATAAACAAAATGGAGGCACAACTCAGATAATTAGAAACTACGATTTTCCAAGTTTGTGTTCAAATAAAGAATATAAAAGAGAAGAAAAATACACAACAGGCAACAGGACATGCTGCTGAAACCGTTTAAGTAGGTTCTTTTAATTTTAAACTGGTTTACACTAGAGTTTTTGTCACGAAATACAATTGTTGTATGAATGTTGTTGAAGCTGATTTTTGTTCGTCGCTATATAACAAAACACTTAATACCTGTTCCCTCGGGAAATAGTTAGTTTTGTTTTCCCTCGAATCTTTAAAATATTTCCCTCGGCTTTGTCTCGGGAAACATTGAGATTCTCGGGAAAACAAAACTAACTATTTCCCTCGGTAGCAGACATTAAGTGTATATTATTGAACAACTGGCATGAGATATATAGCTCAGTTGGTTAGAGTACTGCACTGGAATAGCAGAGCCGCAGGTTTCATTCCTGCCAGTCAGCTATAGTCGCAATTTTGTAGCTATTCCTGGTTAGGTCTTAAATAAATGTATATAAATTTCCAATCGATTATTGCCATCTACAAGATCCTTCAAATATGTTATTCAATCAAGTGAGATGCTACCTAGCATCTCGATACTACATTGTGGTATTGCACTATTATAATAATACTGTGCTGTACTGTGCTGTGCTGTGATGTGCTGTGCTGTACTGTACTGTATTCTTGTTGTGGTGTTATATGCCTATAGCTGTGTGCTTCTATCTGCTATGCAGTGCTACGCTGCATGTCATGAACAGTGAGGCATATCCATTCGATTATATCCAATATAAGACTGTTATAAGACTTGTGATGTGTTGCACTAATGCTGTGCGATATACTAACACTACAGTACATTGGCTGCTAATGGCTGGGTTGTGTTAAATACTTCATGGCCCATGGCGCCCTACTTTAGTACTTTACTTTGCCTAATTCCAGACAATTTTACTTTTCAAGGGAAGGTGTTGCACACTAATGTGGGTTAACCAGCTGAAACAATCACCTGAAACTCTATTGTGCTGAACTGAATTTTTATGTGTTATAAACTCTGCTGTACTTCACTGTGCTACAGTAATATGAACCATGGGAAATTGTGCTGTACTGTCCTTTGGTGCACTGTATGTTCATGAATGTTTTACTGTAATGTACTGCGTGATGCAAAATTGTACTATTCTTTGTTGTACTGTAATAAAATTTACTGTATTTTGTGTTGTCATAGCTGTCATGTCTTGGTTTAACTAATTACAGTGGATTGTATTGCACTGTATGACAAGAACAATGTGTACAATGTACTTGCTATGTTTAATTTAATATAATACAACACATCAATACAGAATAATAAAAATAAGTTGTAATGAAACACTGCATCATTGAGCTGCTGTGACTAAAAATGCCACTCCTCTCATCTGAATATTTATATTAAACACGAAGTAAAATATATTCACTTACCTGAAACATGAATAATGCAATTCTCGCCTCCCTTTTGTATAATTTTCACGTTTTTCTCTTGAGTGCAGTACAAAAGGAAAGTAATCTGAGCGAGTTAAAACTATTAAAAAAATCCGAAAACAAGACGCCATTTTGTTTACCTCTTTATTTATAACAAATAACTCCAATAAAGGGAGTTATATCTGAATAACTCCACCATGAAGAGTTAATTTTGCATGCTAATTAGTTCGCGAGTATCCTCTTACTTCTCAAAGAGAATTACTTTAACTCCCGAAATGGCGTTAACATAGCCCTAAAATTTTAACTCCACCAAAAAGGAGTAAAAAGGGATTTATTTTAACTCCCTGAACATAACAGTGTAAGCATAGTATTGTTAAGATTTTCCTGCGATTCAAAGTATTAAAATAAGATTGTTATTAAGAACAACATATTTACTACTGATACGTTTAATTTGAGACGATTTCACTTAATTGTTTTGTCAGATGGAATTTATATTCGACAAAACTACAACATTCAACGGTATACTTACCAATTTTATTACAATTGCCAGTTTTTGAATTGATGTTGAAGTTTGCGTAATAGACGTATCCCCGATAGAAATTGGTGCTTATTTCCACCTACAATTATTAAAAAATGGTCTTGCAACTGATATTGCTGTCTTCTTCCTACAAAGACTATGCTACATTGCATTCACATTCTCATCTACAGTTCATTCATGCTTTCTTCTTTCTGTCATTTTCAGCAATTTCTCCTGAATGAGTATAATTATCTGGTGATATGCGGAATACGAAAACAAAGTTAAGAACATTGGAGCGTCTCCAGATTAATCGATAAAGAAAATCTGAGTATAATGCTCCTTTTAATGTCCAACAACGTTCTCTTGTCGAGAAAAATCATTCCGCCTATAGCCAGATAACATAAGATATATTTGCACGCAAACCAGTAACGAGTAGAAACAGCATGTGCCTGTACAGCAAGATAAAATTACGTTAATTAACATTAAATTAATTACTTTCTAGCTATAATATACTCACACTCAACGGTTTTATTCAATCTTTATACAATCTACAATTTAAGCTTTCCTTCAGTCACGCCATCTTGAATTACCCCCAGTCCCCCGTCCCTGACCCGTACAGCACATATCCCTTTTTCTTTGTGAACCAAACGTAAACTCAAAACAATCATAATGAACCAATTAAATTTAACCTAAGAAGTTTTTAAATGTTTCCCGATACTATACTAAAGTAGCATAAATGTTCTCACTTATCGGGTACTGATTTTCAATAACGTAAATATTTAATCCAATCGTCTACTTCTTCCAAGTAAGGAATTACACGCTTGAAAAGTGATGAATTTCGTGTGAACGTAACCCCTCGGCGTTTGGTTGTGATTTGTAATCCCTTTATACCTGTTACGCGATATGGTGATGGATCCCAAGGTAAATTATAACGTATTTCTTTGACTTTGTTTCAACAATACCAAATTTCCGATACGGAATTGGGGTTCTTTAGCTCTGTTTCGTATGTCTGACGGATTCTTGATTTTGTTTTTCTCCCTAGCAGCGCGTTGAAGTACAGCTTCACGACTTGTAGTTGAAGACGTTTTATCCTGATTTCCCCTTTTCCTTCCTGGGATCATGGCGTTGGTATCTGGAAGTCTGTTACGTATTTGTCGGTTGAATAGTAGGTCTGCCCGTGGAATTCCTGTAGTAACATGTGCTGTTGTGCGGTAATCTAGAAGAAAACGATAAAGTTCCGTTTTCCAATTCTTTCCATGTGAGTGAGCAATTTTAACTGATTTTTCAATAATCCTCATAAACCGTTCTACGTGTGCGTTGGCCTGCGGCCTGCGGCCAGTATGGGGGTAATCTTTCGATGTTTGATTCCATTTTGTGTTAAATAGTTGTGGAATTCGTGTCCGTTAAAAGGTGGACCATTATCGCTGACAAATTCAATTGGGAATCCATGAACCGAAAATATTTTATCGAGCTTTCCAATAGTGACCGCGGTTGTAGTTGATCGAATGGTTTCAACCTCAGGAAATCGGGAATGTTCATCCATTAACACTAAAAGATATTCCCCACTGGGGAATGGTCCATAAAAATCCCCATGAATCACTTGCCATGGTTTAGATGGCATTGTAGTCATTTTCAACGGTTCAAATATTTTGGAATTGTTTGCAGCTTGACAGTGTATACAGGAAGCGATAAGCGGTTCAACCTCGCGATCTATTCCCGGCCACCATACTTTTGTTCGAAGTAAGGTTTTAGTTTTCACGATACCCTGGTATTGCGCATGTCCAATATTTAACGTGTGGCTTCGTAGTTTCTTGAGCATAACAAGTCGGTTTCCTGGTAGTACGATACCGTTATCTGAAACTGTTAGTTCGTTACAAATACTGTGATATGGCGTTAGATCGATGTTATTGTCATTCTTATTGTTGTTAGTGTGACCAGCTAGATTTCGTGGCCAGCGTTTTTTTTTTTCTAATAGCCGTCATAAGAGGTTGCATTTCAGGATCCTTTTGACACGCTTCCTCAATTTCCTGCCTGTTCACAGATTTAGGCACTAGATTTAGGCACATCAGCTGGATTGGTTTTACCGGGTCGGTGTCGTAGTTTAAATTGGTACTGTTGTAGCCGGAGAGCCCATCGTTCACCCGCGCAGTTGGCTTCGCTTTGGGATGGTATATAACTTCTAACGGTTCATGATCCGTATCCAACTCAAATTCAATTCCAATAAGATACTGTACATGTGAAATTTCTCACAACCAAAAACAACTCCAAGCGCCTCTTTTTTCAGTTTGTGAATATCGCTGTTCAACCTTGCTGAGACTACGGCTTGCATACGCAACAATTTGCTCGTTCTCGTCCCTATCAAACTGTGATAAAATGGCCGCTAATCCGACTGGGCTTGTATAAACTGTTATTCGAGTTCGTTTAGTTTGGTGATAAAAAGTAGTGGTACGTACAATCTTTCGCAATTCCTTCTTTTACTTTGTTGAATGCCTGTTGGTGTCCACCTGTCCATTTCCAAACAACACCTTTGTTGGTTAACTCGCGTAATGGTGCTGTGATTGTTGCCAGGTTATTAATAAACCGTTCACAATATGTTGCCAATCCCAAGAAACTGCGCAACTGGGATACATCTTCTGGCTCTTTCATGTTAACTAGTGCTGCAATTTTGGTTTTGTCTGCAGAAATGCCATCCTTTGATAATGTGTAACCACAAAACCAAATGCTGTCTACGTTAAACTTACACTTGGAAACATTAAGGATAACATTGTTTTCTGAGAGTCGTTTCATGCGAGCTTCAATGTGTGTATCATGTTCTTTCAGGGACTTTCCCCACACAATAATACTATCGGCAATGTTCCTTACTCCCTCCAGTCTTTCGAGTGTTTGTTGAATAGCATATTGGAATTGCTCTGGTGCTGAATTTACTCCGAAACATAAATATTTACATCGCATAAGACCTTTGTGGGTGTGAAATGTGGTTTGAGATCGTGACTCCTCGTCAAAAAGTAACTGGTGAAACCCAGCTGTCAAACCACATTTGAAAACATTGTAGCACGAGCCATGTCCTCAAAGAGTTCCTCAATATTAGGACTAACATGACGTTCTCGCACTATCATTGGGTTCATATGTCGCATGTCTATACATAGTCTGACTTCAGCTGGATTATTAGGCTTTGGTGCAACAACAAGATTCGATACAAAAGATGTAGGTGTTCCTGATGGAACAAATTCAATAATATCACTTTCCTTTAGTTCTTTCAGTTTATTTTCTGTCTGTTTACGGAGATGAAAAGGTATCTTTCGGGGTTTTTGCACAATAGGTTTAGCATTATCTTTAAGGTGTAGGTATACTTCATGACCCTTTAGTTTCCCAATGCCATTAAAGACTGCTGGGTATTCCTTTTTAAACTTTGACATGATTGGTGAGTCTGGCTGATGTATTTAGAAATTTCTGGGTTCTCATTACAAAACTGTTTATGATCCTCTCGAGAATCGGTGTAGGATGTAGAACTAGACTGGGTAACAACAGCAGGAACATTCATTTTGACAATATCAAGCTCTGTAACTGTGGAATAACGGAGTAATGACCCACCGTCCCCGTTTACAACATGGAATCTTGTAACAGCCATTTTTTGTTTTGACTCAATAAGAGTAGTATAGGAAGTAGAGGTTCTGACCCATGTTACCCCGCTGAAAGCGGGGTAACACAGGCCAGAACCCCTAATTCTTATCTACTTTTTTTATATGAAATTTAAGTTTTTAGTAATGGTGTATTTCTGCTTTGTAGGTGCATTTCTGGCTGTATCTATTAATTCCATTTTTGGGTATAGAAAAAGTTTCTCACAGATATGATATGAGACCGTTTTTTAATGACTTGTGAGGGATGTTTTAGAAATCGAAATAACCTCATTGTGGAGATATTCCTATTCTACTTTTCCTCTGGCATGGAAAAAGGCAGAACTTATTCCTATTCATAAAGAAGGTGACCACGAGGTACCCTCAAATAATCGACCAGTTTCCCTTCTTGTAGTCGCATCTAAAATCTGTGAAAGATTAGCTCTTGAGCAATTTAGCTGTTACCTAACAAGCAACAACC